AGAGAGGAGAGAGAGAGAAGAGAGAAAGAGAGAGGAGAGAGAGAGGAGAGACAGAAAGAGAGAGGAGAAAGACAGAGAGAGAGAGAAGACAGAAAGAGAGAGAGAAGAGAGAGAAGGAGAGAGAGAGAGAGAGAGGAGAGAGAGAAGAGAGAGAGAAAGAAAGAGAGGAGAGAGAGAGAAAGAGAGGAGAGAGAGAGAGAAGAGAGGAGAGACAGAAAGAGAGAAAGAGAGAGGAGAGAGAGAGAAGAGACAGAAAGAGAGAGAGAAGAGAGAGAAGAGAGAGAGAAAGAGAGAGAGAGAGGAGAGAGAGAAGAGAGAAAGAGAGAGACCTCTAGCACTGCAGATCTACTCCAACCACTGGGTGAAAGTATTTTGCAAAATCAGCTCTCCAAGATGGTTGCAACTGTTTAGATTTCCACTAGTTGCTGGGTGTCCCAGCTGGTCTGTGACCGCAATCAAGCTAGGATGGCTTTCTTCTTCTTCAGTGTGCTGGACGTGCCAGACCCCCACTCATCCTTTGGCTGATGTTGCAAGAGACTCCTACCCCCCAGATCTGCTCCTAGTAGGAGAATGGGGAAAGCCATGGAGATAGGCAGGAATGGTTGGGAGGGGCAGAGGGGAGGGGCAGAGCTGAGTGTCCTCTCCCGCCAGAGCAGGGAGGAGCCGGTCCCAGCTGGGGGGAAGTGGGGGGACAAGGATCATACTGTGGGGTCCTTGGTGCTCTCTGAGCTTGGAGATGTTTCATGACCGAACTAGGCAACATCCTTAGCACTGATGACGTTCCCTAGTTGGGTCATGAAACGTCTGCAAGAAAACCACCAAGCTCAGTGAGCACCAAGGACCCCACAGTCCTCCTCCTCCTCCTCCTCCTCCTCCTCCCTTCCAGCACTGATGATGATATCTAGTTGGGCCATGAAACGTCTGCAAGAAAACCGCCAAGCTCAGAGAGCACCAGGGACCCCACAGTCCTCCTCCTCCTCCTCCTCCCTTCCAGCACTGATGATGATATCTAGTTGGGCCATGAAACGTCTGCAAGAAAACCGCCAAGCTCAGAGAGCACCAGGGACCCCACAGTCCTCCTCCTCCTCCTCCTCCCCCCTTCTAGCACTGATGATGTTCCCTAGTTGGGCCATGAAACGTCTGCAAGAAAACCGCCAAGCTCAGAGACCACCAAAGACCCCCACAGTTCAACGCTGAGCTACAAAGATTCTCTTCTAGCTTTAAGAATTACTCCCCCCCATCACCACATACATACACAACTGAGTTCTGAAAAAGTGCCACAAAATGAGCCTTTTCTCTGTTGCGGAGACGAGGAGGAGACCAACAGGAAAATCTCCCTTGCAAATGCTGTGTGGCCCTGTCTTCAGTGACGACCAAGTGTGTCCTCTTTAAATTGGAGGAAAGAGGGTTTGAGAGAATCATGTGGGGGGTGTGTGTGGGTGTGTGAGTGTGTGTGTGTGTGTGTGAGAGAGAGAGAGAGAGAGAGAGAAGAGAAAGAGAGAGAGAGAAGAGAAAGGAGAGAGAGAGAGAGAGAGAGAGAGAGAAGAGAAAGAGGAGAGAGAAAGAAAGAGAGAGAGAGAGAAGAGAAAGAGGAGAGAGAGAGAAGAAAGAGAGAGAGAGAGAGAGAAGAGAAAGAGGAGAGAGAGAAGAAAGAGAGGAGAGAGAGAAGAAAGAGAGAGAGAGAGAAGAGAGAGAAGGCATTTAGCAAGTCTGAAGGGACTCTGATGTAAGTGAGATCTTCCTCAACTTATTTGCATCCTCTTTTTTGTTGATCTTGTGTAAATATTTGGCAATGCCTCACCAGATTGGATCTTGCCTCCTTCCTTAATCCCTTTGTACACAGGCTCAACAGCTCTTCAGCAAACAGTTCCCTCCACCCCTCCACCCCCCCCCCAGGCTGAAGAAGTGTCCTTGTTCCGGCTGTTAATACCAATCAGGGCTATTAAGAACATCAAAGGACAGAAGAGAATGGAGAAGAGAATCTGGAATGAAATCAAATCCTTGTTAGCTCAGGGCTGAACTGGGGGGGGGCGGGGGGGGGAAGTCCTTGGTGAGTTTGGTGCTTTTCTTGCAGACTTTTGCACAACAATTAATCCCTGGAATGGCTTCTCTCCAGAAGAGACTGGACAGCCCTAGACAGAATAGCAGAGTGGGGGGGGACCTTAGTGGTCTTCTAGTCCAGCCCCCTGTTCAAGCAGGAGACCCTTGCCCATTCTATACAAATAGTTGTCCAATCTCCCCTTAAAAATGACTAATGAGATTCCCTATCTGGGTCACGAAATGTCAAACAGCTGAGCTCAGAGGACACCCCACCAACAGAAGAATTCTGGGGAGGGGGGATTAGAGTTAGGGTTATATCTATCTCTAGATATATATTCTATCTCTATCTATGTATCATCTAGTACAGGGGTAGGCAACCTTGGCTCTTTTATGACTCGTGGACTTCAACTCCCAGAATTCCTGAGCCAGCATGGCTCAGCTTGGAAACCTCTCCCTTTTCCCTCAGCATGGCTGGCTCAGGAATTCTGGGAGTTGAAGTCCACCAGTCATAAAAGAGCCAAAGTTGCCTACCCCTGGTCTAGGCCCTGTTTACCTTGGCAATTTCCAGGCGTGTGGACTTCAACTCCCAGAATTCCTGAGCCAGCATGGGGGAACTATGACCCCCTCATGACTCGTGGACTTCAACTCCCAGAATTCCTGAGCCAGCATGGGAGAAACTTTGGCCCCTTCATGACTCGTGGACTTCAACTCCCAGAATTCCTCAGCCAGCATGGGGGAAACTTTGGCCCCTTCATGACTCGTGGACTTCAACTCCCAGAATTCCTCAGCCAGCATGGGGGAACTATGGCCCCTTCATGACTCGTGGACTTCAACTCCCAGAATTCCTGAGTCAGCATGGCTCAGCTTGGAAAACCTCTCCCTTTCCCCTCAGCATGGCTGGCTCAGGAATTCTGGGAGTTGGAGTCCACGAGTCATAAAAGAGCCAAGATGGCCTACCCGTGCCCCAAAGGGTCAGCTTGCTCCAAGGAGTGCCTTGGCCTGGGGGGTGGGGTGGGGTCTCCCTCCAGCCCCACTGCCAGCCTGTCTCTCCCCCCCCCAGTCCCTTTTGCCCGCCTGCTCACCTTCTCGGGGGGGCTGTTCTTGGCCATTGGGACCCACCGGGGGGATGCAGAGCTCGTTGCCCCCAGGAAACCGGCTGCAGTTGAGCATTTCGGGCCAAGGGAAGCCGAAGGCGGCCATCACGGGCAGGCAGCTGTCCCGGACGGCCTGGCAGAGAGACTGGCAGGGGAAGATGGGCTCGTCCATCTGGCTGATGCAGACGGGGGCGAAGAGGGAACAGAGGAACTTCTTGGTCTCCCGGTGGCACCGCTTGGTCAGGAGGGGCACCCAGGAGGCCGCCTGCTGCAGGGCCTCCTTCATGGTGTCGTGGCCCAGCAGGTTGGGCAGGCGCATCTCGCTGTAGCCCACGCCGTGGCACAGGGCCATGCTGCTGGGCACCGGCTTGCAGGCGCTGCGCCGAGAGCTCAGCTGCACCAGGTGATGCTGGAAGGAGGAGGAGAGGCCGCAGCAGCCCCAGAGGGCCAGCAGAAGCAGGAGGGCGGCCCGGACAGCCATCAGGAACCTGGAGGAAAGAGAGAGAGGGGGGGGCAGTTGCGTGGGGAACTCAGAGGTCAGCGGAAGGCAGGACCGATAAACAAGGGATGGAAACTCATCATGGAGAGAAGCAACCTGGAACTAAGGAGAAAATTCCTGACAGGGAGGACAATTAACCAGTGGAACGGCTTGCCACCAGAAATTATGGCTGCTCCAATACTGGAAGTTTTTAACAAAAGATTGACCACCATTTGTCTGAAATGGTTTAGGGCAGGGTTAGGCAACTTTGGCCCCTTCATGACTCGCGGACTTCAACTCCCAGAATTCCTCAGCCAGTATGGCTCAGCTTGGAAACCTCTCCCTTTCCCCTCAGCATGACTGGCTCAGGAATTCTGGGAGTTGAAGTCCACGAGTCATAAAAGAGCCAAGGTTGCCTACCCCTGATCTAGTCCAAGGGTTTTCAAACTTGGCTCTTTTATGTCTCGTGGACTTCAACTCCCAGAATTCCTGAGCCAGCATGGGGGAACTATGGCCCCTTCATGACTCATGGACTTCAACTCCCAGAATTCCTCAGCCAGCATGGGGGAACTATGGCCCCTTCATGACTCATGGACTTCAACTCCCAGAATTCCTGAGCCAATATGGCTCAGCTTGGAAACCTCTCCCTTTCCCCTCAGCGTGGCTGGCTCAGGAATTCTGGGAGTTGAAGTCCACGAGTCATAAAAGAACCCAGGTTGCCTACCCCTGGTGTAGGGCCTCCTGCCTGAGCAGGGGGTTGGACTAGATGGCCTCCAAGGTCCCTTCCAATTCTGTTGTTTTGTATTCTTCTGTAGTGGAGGAAAGTGGCTCGTCCCCCATGGATTTTGAGGCTGATTCTTCCCTCCTTGACCAACTGGTGGGTCCTTTCACACACACACACACACACACCTCAAGAGCAGGGGTTTCACCCTCCAAACTCTACTCCCAAACTAAGCCTGAACAAGTCCACACTAGGTTACTAGTCCCTTGCAGAAGGAGCCACAGGAAAGGAAGGAGCTTTCCTAGAAGAGATTGAACAGCCCTTTGTCTAGGACTGGTCTCCTGCTTGAGCAGCGGGCTGGACTGGATGACCTCCAAAGTCCCTTCCAAGTCTGGTATTCTGTAATCTGAGTTGGCCAGACCCCCCCCCCCACCGGCACGTCCCCTCTTCTGCCCCGGTTAGGGGGCCTCCATCCTGCGGCTCCTCTGCCGGGGACCCTACGGGGGGAGGCGGGGAAGTACCTCCGTCCCCCTTTCAGGGAGTTTGTGGGGTCCGGCAAGCAGGGGCGACGCGGGAGAGGCATCGCCGGGGGGAACCGGGTCTCTGCTTGCACTGTGCCCGCAGCTGCGCTTCGCTAAGAACGGAGGGAGCTGGAGGGGAAGCCTCGGGCCGGGGGCTTTCTGGGCAGCCCCCCTCCCCGCGAAGAGCGAGTCCTGCCCAGCCTCCCCACGGCTCCCACCCGCGACCCCACGAGCCCCGCACCTGCCGGGCTGAGAAACTCCTTCACCTGGAAGCCGCGCGGGCTGCGTCCGTCTGCGAGAGGCGGCCGGGAGGGGACTCTGCAGGGCGGCGCTCGGGGCAGGCAGAAGCCCCGGCCTCCGCCCACCCACCCACCCGCCAGCCCCCCACCCGCCTCGCCTCGCCTTGGACGGCGGCCAGGGGGACGCAGAGCCGCGGGCGGGCGCTGCTATCGCGCCCAGGCATCAGGGGGGCGGCCTTACGCGGGAGCCCCCCGCCTCTGTCCCCCCTCCACCGCCTGGAGTTCTCTGCCCGAGTGGGGAGGGGCGCGGCTTGAGCCCGCGGACCCCAGACCCCGCCAAGCCCGTAGCCAGAAGGCGGCTTAGGATGGGGCGCAAGGGGGGGGGTCTGGAGTGGGGCAAAGCGGCGTCGGGGCTGGCTCAGGAGCCCCGGCACCACGAGGAGGGGGTCTTCGGGGGGGGAGGGCAGCGAGAGGGGCGCACGCCTTTCAGGGGCTCTGCCTGGCTTAGCGTAACAGCCACATCTGGAGAGGCGCGCATTGGGGGAAAGCCATAATAAACCCTCGCTTGCCAGGACGGAGGGGTGGGGGGGGGAAGAGGGGGAGGTCCCTAACCCTAACCTGCACCCCCCCAAAAAAAACCCCAAATCGGCCCCCTGGGTGCGAGTAGCGGAGCCGGGCAGGAGAGCTGGCGCAGAAAATCCCGGGGGTGGCCGTGCGTTCCTGCTCACCCGCGCGCGGATGCTGCCTGGAATCGCGCGACGCCCCCCCGGGGCAGATGAGCGGGGTCTCCGTTGGCTTGGCCCGCGGCTCAGCGGTCCCCCACCGGGAAGAGGTCCACAGAGTCTGGGATTCCCTCCCCCACCACGAGACCCCCGACTCGGTGGGCGCATAAAAAGCCTGGCGCGCGCAGTTGGAGAGGTTCCCTGGAGAGGGCTTCAAAAGAGTCGGAGGCGGGACGGAGGGGGGGAAAGACAGAGTGGGAAGCGGTGGGGGGGTGGAGGGAAGTACACAATAGTGTTGCCCAACGTCCAGCCCCCTCCCTTCGGCTCCTTTCCGCCCCCTCCCCCTCCTCCAAGAGCGACCCCCTGCTGCGTTCCGGATCAGCTCCGCCGCGCTGCTGCTCTTGACCATTTGCGCTCCGGGGAAACCGGTTTGGTGACCTGGCAGGGGGTCCCCCGCCCTCCGGGGCTGTCTGTGCCCCCTCCCCTCCTAAGGGACTGCCTGGAAGTGGGCTCTCTTTTTGGCAGAAGTCCCAAGGATCAAAGGGAGGCGCCCCTTTATAGTCTTTTTAGAGAGCCCTGGTTTTTTTTTGTTGTTTCTTTTTTACAATTTTTTTATTAATTTTTCAAATAAACATAAACAAATAATACAAATATGGTGCATTTCATTAAAAAAAACAAACACATAAAAAGCCTACTCAGTAAGTATTCAGAAATAATCGGCGGTCCCCCCCCCCTGCATCCACACTCCCTCAACCTTCCTACCTACTTCCCTCTTCCTTCCTCCCCCTCTTAACCACAACCTCTCCTCTTTCCTCCTTTCCAACTATCCTACACATCCCATCACCTTGAGAGCCCTGTTTTATATAGGGATCAACTTCAGCCGACAGCTAAATTCCAGCTTTTTCTAAATCCAGGAGTTCCTTTAGGGATTTTCTGCAGGGAATGGTATTATTTATTTATCGAATAGCTAATGCGTCACATTTTGAGGGGGAAAAAAACACAAAAGATAACGTGAAATCTGAAATCTGAAATATTATAAACCTATATCTAGATATTATAAACCCATATCCTGAAGTGGAAACCACCTAAGGAGAAGGAAGGACTCCCTGGAGAAGAGCCTGGTGCTGGGAAAGATGGAGGGCAAGAGAAGAAGAAGGGGACTACGGAGAAGGAGGTAGCTGGATGGAGTCCCTGAAGCAGGAGGCGGGAGCGTCAATGGACTCCAGAAGATGGTGGAGGACAGGAAGGCCTGGAGGAACGTGGTCCATGGGGTCGCGGTGTGTCAGACACGACTTCGCAACTAACAACAACATATCTAGATTACAGATATAACTTTTTGCTTCATTTGTCACAGCCAGAAAATCAGCAAAGTCTCCATTATAGGCACTCTGTCGCTATGTGTTGGATAATTTGCTTTTCGGCTTCACAGTCACAAGTTGATAATGGTGTTTTGCTCACATAGAGGGCAGAGTTTAATGAAGAGAAGGACGAGGGGGGACATGATAGCAGTGTTCCAGTATCTCAGGGGCTGCCCCAAAGAAGAGGGAGTCAAGCTATTCTCCAAAGCGCCAGAAGGCAGGACAAGAGGCAACGGATGGAACCGAATCAAGGAGAGAAGCAACCTGGAACTAAGGAGAAACTTCCTGACAGTTGGAACAATTAACCAGTGGAACAACCTGCCTCTAGAAGCAGTGAATGCTCCAACACTGGAAGTTTTTAAAGAAGAGACTGAACAGCCATTTGTCCTCCAAGGTCCCTTCCATCTTTTTATTATTATTATTATTATTATTATTATTATTATTATTATTATTATTATTATTATTATTATTATTATTATTATTATTATTATTATTTAGTGTGGCCAGTGTGAATTCAATCCAGTGTTGTCCATATCTTGTGGGGCTGGTTAAATCCAGGTAGTTTATCCAACATGCAAGGCAAACTTTGACACTGTGAGGGCTAATTTTCTATCCAATATTGTTTCCGCATATGGTGTATGTCAAAATGATCTTCTACAAGTACTTTAGCAGTAGAAATACAATGGTACCTTGGTACTCCACTGTTTTGTCCCCGTACTCATTGTTTGTTTAGTACTCAACACCTAAGCTAGAATTTGTTGGTGTTGGCTGCCTTGCGACTCACTACGTTAATCCTCTAAGGAAAAGATTGGTTTGCTACTGTAGGAAGTGAGCACACACACCCCTCCTAGAGAATGAAGTATTTTGGGGAATATTAAAAAAAAAAAGGCAGAATATTATATTTCCCCAAAGGAGAAATGGGAAAACATCTTAGGCAGAAAGAGTCTCCCTTTGCTCAGTCAGAAATGGAGATTTTGCAATCCTTTCCGAAAGACTATTCATAAGTAAAACTTATTCAACCCCCATAGCTGATGGGATTAAGAATTTACATCCCCCCCACCCAATTTCTAAGCACCAGACAAGACCTTCAGTGCATAATAGGATTAACCCACCACCATTAGAATAGAAAAAGACACAAGCTCACTACATTGCACAACCCCCAGTAGCAGTATCTCAGGGGCTGCCCCAAAGAAGAGGGAGTCAAGCTATCCTCCAAAGCGCCTGAAGGCAGGAGAAGAAGCAACGGGTGGAAACTAATCAAGGAGAGAAGCAACCTAGAACTAAGAAGAAAGTTTCCTGACAGTGAGAACAATTAACCAGTGGAACCAATTGCCTCCAGAAATCGTGGGCGCTCCATCATTGGAGGTTTTCATGAAGAGACTACAGTCACTTGTCTGAGATGGTATAGGTTCTCCTGCTCGAGCAGGGGGCTGGACTAGATG